GTTTTGAAACTAAATTGCTGTAAAAATTTAGCACTTAAAAATGGAAATAATTTCACTTACCTTTAAAAAATACTGCTTTTTCTGACATTTCTGATGATGAGTTCCCTACTGATATTATACCAGTGTGCAACTGCATGAGAGCACCTTCCAAAACATTTTTATTTTTTCCATCACTAACAAAACAGTGCATAAATCCATCCATATTACTCGATTCAAACCAAAATCCTTTCCTTACACTCTTAAACACATGTGTATCCTTTAACACTAGACTGAATTCTGCAGTAAAGACGTTCAAAAACCATCATTCACTTTCTTGCCTGTTCTTTCTCTCAATTCCATACTTTCTCCACATTTTGAAAATGCATACGATGATCCAATCAAACCTTTTTTCATGCTCCATTCTAAAATGGCTTTCTTTCCAAGCACAGGCAACATGGTAAAAAAAGGTTTCACAATATTAATCGTATTTTTTCATGCATTCATTCAAATTCTCTAATTGCATTGTGGCAATCTGAAAATTTATGCGGAATAAGAGTAATATTACCTATTAAAATGATTCCACAACAAAAAAAATGAATGGAAAGAAAATTTCTGGTCCAACAGAATTACCAGAGCAAGCAGAACTAAGAATGTTGAGAGGTTTCTAATGTCATTAAAAAGAGCTGTGCAACCACATTAGTAATTGTTAATTTTTAAAGTATTAAAAGCTTTCTGCCCATGTGGGAGAGACTGTTGAAGAACTGTTGAAATATATAAAAAAATGAATTACGAATGTTCTAACTTGCAGTGATATCGTTAAAACTGTTAAAATTAAGGAAATTTTTATACTGTGCATGTGCAAAATTTCGCCAAAAAGCGACTTCTCCTTCACTGGAAACAAATTCAGAAGGGTTACCAGATTTAGCTCATTTATTGATTTGGCAAAAGAAACACTTGGCGCTAGAGGCGGCCGATTCAACAAATCAGTTGAAAAAAATTCAATTAGTCTTGGAAGAAGCAATTTAATTTGAATTAAAACTTGTACTTGAAGGAAATTTTTGGCCTATATTTGTTACCTACATTAAAAATCAGGATTCTATTTGCTCACTTAAAATCAACTATTCTTGTGAATAAGCATTGTATTAGAATTTCCATTATACTCAATTCATCTCTTAAATGCTTATCAAATTGAAATCAGTTTCGTAGATTAAATATTTATTATTTGAACAAATGTTAAAGAACTGTCTTAATGACATCAATTTTTGATATGTTTGAATTATATTTCTATTGAACTTATTTTTTTTTATAAAAATATAACACTTGTATAAATTCTTAGGTTGCTACTGACGAAGAAAGCAGTTCTAAAGGTTATGGATTTGTCCATTTTGAAACAGAAGAGGCTGCAAACAATGCAATAGGAAAAGTAAATGGCATGCTGCTAAATGGTAGAAAAGTGTGAGTACATTAACATTTCATTAAATTTTTTGTTAATTCTTCACTAGAGGTTGGATCCTAGCATAACTTCCATATTTTTGCCAAACATTTTTGACAATTTTTTTAGCAATAAAGTAAGCTTATTATATTGTAACCCTGCAAAATGTAGAGAAATAATAACCCTATCTGGACTGGATTTTTCTAGTTTTTTAGGATATAGACTAGTCTTTCTAATGGTTGTCTGTGATAGTTGTGTAAGATTTTTCTAGAAAGCTGAAAGTGAAGAAAAATGAGTGGATTTTTTCTTAATGAAACAGTAGAAAGAATGTTGTGAAAAGAGAGGGAGATCAGTTAATTCAATTGGGAGGTTTTCTCTCTTATTTTAAAAGCAACATTTTTTCTTTTTAGAAACTATGAATTGATATATATATATATATATATATATATATATATATATATTTTAAATAGAAGAAGCAAGAAAGAAATGATTGCTTTATGTATGAATGAAAGATTTAAAATATTTTGGTATATGTTTGCAATATGGAAAGTATACAGATCCCACTGTTTCCCACTGTTGTATCTTGGCTATTTTTATTCAAGTCATTTTAGAAACAATGTTTTTCTTTGCAAAAACTTGACAAGTAAATTGTCTTCTAAATGAGAAGCAAGAAAGTATTTTTTGTATGAATGAAGGATCGATAGAATTTTAGTATGATCGAAATCTGGAAAAAATTTATGTATGATTTAGTTGATTCGATATGTTCTTTTTGGAAGCCATATTTTTTTGATGTAGATTTGAAAACCATATCCCTACTTATTTGCTGAATTTATTTTGAAAAATGTTATTTCCTTGGCATCATTCGGCAAAAACTTTATTGTCGAACACACCAGGTGACTGTGCAAGTGGCTTGTAATTTGCGGAGTACCTTTCCCCAAATGTGGGATGCAAGTCCTCGTCAGAATTAATAAAGAAAAAGTTACTTCATGATGAGTGACAAAATAAAAAAGGGAAAAAAATTTAAAGGGGGGGATAAGTAATGGAGATATATCTAATGTGCTAGAAAAACAGTGGTGGCGCAGTCTGCTCGCAGAGGAAAGATGCCTGTCTAACTGCTGTTTCAGTTGGACAGAACCAGACACTCCAGTTGGTGGGTTTGGGGAAACAATGTTATGCTCTGAATGGTAGTGTCCAGAACAAAAGGAAGATCTTAGAAACACAATTCTAAGACTCCATAGAACAGGCAAGAAAACTAGTAAGAGATAATAAAAATTTAAAAAAAATTTAATTAACCAACTTGCACAAATGCCTGTAGTAATAGGTTGAAGGAAGGTGGATAAAACAATCGGGCAGAAGGACAGCTCGTGGTGAAGAGTCAAAAATACATTTAAAATCATTTATGTGACAAAAACATGATATAATTGGTAAAAAGAAGCAAAGAATACCCGGCATTGAATAAAAAAGCTGTAGTTCCAAGGAACTAAACAATTTTGAGAAAGCTGAGCATGTAACAAAATTAAGAAATAAGATGTATAACAGTATCTATCTGGTGGCTGAAAATGAAAGTGGAAGTGAAACAGTCGCAAAGTCGCTTTCGGCCGCGGCGTTTAGTGCTTCGGAAATGAACTTAAATCCGCGACTGTGTGAGGCTAACAAGTTACTTGTTTAGGTGGGAGAGTTAAGCTTTATGAGAAAATTTAAATAAAATTAAATGTTTAAAAAGATTTTTTAATTTTAGAATTTCCAGGTCACTTTTAAGACTGCGGGATTGTAGGCAGGTTGATTACTAATTAGTGCATTGGGAATGTTAGGTAATTTATCTTGGAATCTTTTAGATTCTTAATGTATGGAAGAGTAGGTTAAACGTAAAGGTAATTTTTTTTTGGGGGGGATTCAGATGAAGGGTAGAGTTAAAAAGCAAAAACTTGTGTTGAATCCTAGTTGTCTCTTTCTAGAGACAAGCTTTTTGAGCATAAAATGAGCAGAGTTCGCTTTTTACGAGCCTGTTCAATGTGGTGGGCGATTTAATATTTATAATACAGTGTTAATTTTGCATCTAAAAACCACCCTAGGTATTTGACATTTATCTAGAAGACAGGTTGGCCAAAAATGGTGACAGGTTAATCTAATAAGGGCATTCTGTGAACATTAGGCAGGCACTTTTGTAAGCATTAACTTAACCAGTCTGTGAGCCAGAGTTCAAGCAGGTATTACCCTTTACTGTATAAATTTTATTACAGATATTTTTAATTCAAGTATATAAAATTTCAAATGTATCGTAAAATTCAGCATGTAATGTGGACTGCTGAATAACTTGCTACTTTAATTTCAAGCTGTAATTTTTAAATTTTTGGGTATATATTTGTTGTGTGCCATTTTACATAGATGCCTAAAGTTATACCAAAAATATAAAGTAATTTAATATGAAATATGAAGTAAATTGCATGGAAAGTCGTACAAACCTGTGAGAAATACACGACTAAATAAAATAGAAATAATTAATGTTCCTTTGGGACTGTACCATTTGATTCTCGGACGAGTGACTGATGTACTTAAGTATTAGGTAGTATATAAAATCTATGACAAATTTTAATAACCAACTTAATGGATTAGTGTATAAATATTAAAAATTGCTAATTAATCATAAATTAATATAAAATAACATCTGGGCCTGAAGAGATTTGTAATAACATTTGAATAGAAAATCCTAAAGGAAAAGGACATAGAATCCTAAAGACCAAAATTAATCTAGAAAGTGAATCAGCATTTCTATGCGAAACTTTATTGAAATAAGCACAAAAAGAGGGTACACCGTAAATTGAAAAGCCTGCAGAAACCAGGCGGTAATGTAGAATCTAGAAGTTGAATATTGCCTATAAAAGTTTCCTAATCGAAAAATTACTTTGAATTATCACTTTAAAAGTATAAACCCTTACTTTCTCGCTGTGCATCCCGTAATTTCTGCTGGTATGTATTTTTCCCAATGTTTTAGTTGTGCAACCCATGCTGTTTCTTTTTATTTGTTATTGTGTTCAGACTTTTATGATCCAAGTCTGTATTTTAACCCTCTGACCAAGACATCAGTCTCTCGGACGGAGATTTGTGTTGATGCCTATATATATAAGGATGCAGTGTGTTTATCAGGGTAGGCTGCCTTGACATCTTACATTGGACTCCTCCAAGTGAGCAGATCATGTGGTGGCGGTACTTTGTGATTTTTTTTTGTCTATCAGACTGGTATTCCTAGAGTTTTTCTTTTTGGGTATTTTTAATTATCTTTACATGAATAAAAATATTAGTCACAGTTCTAGTGATACAAATATATTAATATAGTAGGCCTCACAAAGAAATTTGTAAAGAATATTAAAATCTTTTTTTGTTTTTAATTCAATTGTCTAATATATATATCTTGGAAAAGGTACGCTTGATTTAACTGCACACATGTTATTTGAGCCATACTCAATTTCAGGAGCAATAAGGAACTTTAAAATGTTCTTAAAGCCATAAAAAAAATGAATGGTGGGGGAGGGGAAACAGTATCAGATGAGTCCTCAGAATGGCTAAAAAGAAACCATTCTTTGAAATTAGGTGGAAGTTCAGTTGGGATATAAACCCATGACCTTTGAATTAGAAGTCCAAAGTGCTACACCCATTGTGCTACAGGGACATAAGCGATTTTCCTTTTTACATATGGTGTTGAATTATTTTTGTTAGTAATTATACATTAATTAAATATTTCAAGAAACTATTAAGTTTAAAAAAATATATTTGAACTCTCTCTCTCTCTCTCTCTCTCTCTTGAATGGATGAATAGGAAGTATATTTTATTGATTAAAAATTTGAACAAGATGTAGATGAACTAATTGTAAGAATTGGGGGGGGAAGGGTGCTAGTTTGATATCTAGGATAATAGTGCCAAGTTTATATTCGCCAAGATGGGCGATAACATTACAATATGGTTGCCTTGATATTTATTGTCTGTCGATGTGGTTGCCATGGGGGTAACGTAAATTAGAACTAACTTTATTGGTTTTTCCGTGCTGTAATCTTATTAATTTTGGACTATTTTAATTGATTCTAAAAATGTAACCATTTTTAGTGTAATTCTTATTGTGTTTTGGTCTTCTGTTTTATTTTGTGCTATACTCGAATATAGATATTTCTAATGAGATGATTTTTTAAAAGAATAAGTGTTCATTCCTAGGAGAGCCCACATCCTTGACACGAACAATTTCAGTTGGTGATATTGTGCCATCTTGGTAACCCTACTTTGATACTTTAGATATGGTAAACCTAACTATTTCTGGAGTTTTCATTTTGTCTGCGGGCATTTTGAATTTCGTCATTTTGTTGGGCATTGGGCTGGAAGTATGGCTCGTGCGAGGGAATATACCTTCAAATTTTTTACTTCGTTGAATGCGAAATGTAAGAAATTGTTTGGAAGGAAGAATTGAAAGGAAGGAAGAATTGATTTTTTTCGAATGTTCTAAATGTAATAAGCAAATGGGATTATACGAAGGAAGGAGTGTTGTTTTGGAGGGATTTCAATGGAGATGTCAAATGGGTATGTTCAACCATTACCTCGCAGAATACATATGGCAGCGCTTCCACGGTCGATTCGCTTAGCGATAAGGCATTCAAGGCTTTTTTTAAAATTTACTGTCACGCTGTACCCTTTACTTAAAAAAAAATCAGTAAAAGTAAATGCTGTTTTTTAGTTTCATCTTAAATATATTTGATTAATTTCTGTATTTACATATATTTTCATTATGAATCCACCTTGTCCTGCTATATTCACTTGCCGTCATTGTTGGTTTAATTTACGCCATCTCGTTCTGGCTTGGCGCTTTTTTCTGTTTTTCGCCAAGGCTGTGGGCTCTCCTAGGATTTTACAGAATAAGTCTTGTACTTTTAATTATCGTAAGTTAATTTTCGGTTTAGTTTACTTTTAAAATGCTGCTTTTTTACATTCTTTGATGAAATTCATTGAAAGGACAAGTTTTACTGCAAGCTGTCACTACTTTGTAATTGATATTCATTATTAATTTTAATGCATATTATGTAATTTTATTAATGTAATATAAAAAATTAATAAATACTGTGTAATAATCATATAATCTTTGTTATTTATAATTGTTAATATTTATTTATAATAAATATTTATAATTGTTATTTATAATTATATAATAACGAGTATTCTGCTTTTTCTATTTTTTTATTTTTATAATTACTATTAAATAATATTAAAGAAATGTTATTAAAAAAAAAATCATACAATATGAGTATTATATATAATTGATAAAATTATATTAGGTATTTAAATTAATATAACTTTGTGGTGCATAATGCAAAATGTAATGTAATTCTAGAATGAATTGGCTAAGGCAGTAATTCTCAACTACTGTGCTATGGTGTTTTTTGTCTCTTAATATTAAAAAAATTCCTAGTTACATAATTCTCATTTGGATATAAAAAAAATTAATTGGGTTTGTAATCCATTTGTGATAAGATATATCAGTACAAGCATGAACTGGAAGAACTAATTTTGCTCTGTAATAATTTAATTTAAAAACATTAGACAGTCAATTCATTTTGGATTAAAATTAAACGAAATTATTCCATGGTAGCCAAAAGTTTGAAAGATGTTGAAATTTCTACATCTTTAAAGTGAATTCTGATTTTCAGCATGAACAAATATAAAAATGGGAAAAAAATCTAGACTTAAGAAAGATGCAGTTAATGAAAGGAGAGTGGTATTTTTGACCAAATATAGATAATTGTCATATCATCAAACTATAATCTTGCATTAAATGTATTCTTATAATTACTCTGAACATTTTGTTTGACGTAAATATGCATTTTTTTAACATTCTAAATTATCATACTATTTGATGTAATAAATAATTAAAACTTTTAACTTATTTTATTATTAGTATGCAGTCATTTTAAAATTGGCACCACAATAAAAAAAATTATTGTATCAGTGGAGTAATGAGCAGGAAATACTAATGATCTTTGGATTTGAGAATTTCATTGGAATATTATACTTATGAGAGTTTAAGAAAATCAAAACTTATTTTGGTTAAAATCTGATCAGAAGCATAGATTATAATTATCCCATTAAACATTTACCTTCAATTTAAATATGTCTGCTTTTGTTAGAACCTAGATGTAAAAAGAACCTAAATATAAAGATTATAAAGAACCTAAATGTGTGTAGTAAATGTTTTGTAGCAAGAACAAATGTCTTCTGTTCTTAAGTAGTTGGAATTATATGGCTAGAAAGAATATCGTAGCTTGAATTGGATATCAATCATCCTAATAAAATAATTATTAAATCAGTCTTTCAAACATCTCTAAAGGCTGAAAGAATTATTCAAAAGCATTAAATATGTATATTTTTCCAGGTTTGTTGGAAAATTTATCCCACGAAAAGAACGAGAAAAGCTGCTCGGCGAAAAAGCCAGGAGGTTCATGAATGTGTACATCAAGAACTTCGCTGATGATCTTGATGATGATAAACTGCGCGAGATGTTTGAAAAGTATGGCAAGATTACCAGTGCAAAGGTCATGACTGATGAAATAGGGAAGTCTAAAGGGTTTGGTTTTGTCAGTTTTGAAGACCCTGAAAATGCTGAAAAGGTTTGTTATATTTGAGTATTTCTAAAATTAGGCCTTTTGTTAAAGAAACCTTTGAATTAGCTTTTAATAAAGCTTTTTTCAGTGGCTTGAATATGCAAAATTCTGTCATTATAGTTAAATTAAGCCTGATAAAATATGTTTTATTTAAAATGTAGTACTTTATTCTGTACAAATGCATCAACTGAATTTTGACACTATTGGTAGCATTAATATTATAATTTTAGTTTTTTTAAGTAATAGCTTAATACTTTTGATAAATAAGTTACTATTACATTAGAAGCCATCTATTGTCATTAGTCAGATTGTCAGTAGTGGTCTTAAAATTGTAGACCTCTAAAGCTAGAACTTAATAAATTTTTTTAGGGAATTCAATAACTAAAATTCCTTGAAATTATATGGTTTGTCATGCATTTTTAAGTTATTAAAAAAAGAATTTTTTTATTATCAATTTTTTTCAGTTTTAAAGTGGTTTGTTCTATGTTTTAGTATTTAAAACATTAGTTATAATAAATGTGGACCAACTTTTAAACTTGTTTAATTATATCAATTTTTTAATAGGTTATTATTGATAAATTTGTCTAAAATTCTCTGTAGTTAACTAAAATTATATCGATTTGGAGTAAATTAACTACTTTTTAATGGATAAGTTGTCGACAACTTAATTCCTATCTATCTTTTTGTATTTATAGGCAGTCGAAGACTTAAACGGGAAAGATTTCAATGGTAAAACCTTATATGTTGGGCGAGCCCAGAAAAAATCCGAAAGAGCTGCAGAGTTAAAACGACGGTTTGAAATGCTTAAAATGGAACGTATGAGTAGGTACCAAGGTGTTAATTTGTATGTGAAAAATTTGGATGATGCAATTGATGACGAAAGATTAAGAAAAGAATTTGCACCTTTTGGAACCATCACAAGTGCCAAAGTATGTTAAACAATTTTTGTATTGGTTATGGCTTATGTTTAATTTGGCTTATTTTTTCAATTAATATTGTCAAGAACGTTTTCGAAATAAAACCTTAATAGAATATATATAAAATTTACACTAAATGAATTTATTTTTTGTATTATGGCTCAGTGTTGGACCATAATTAAAATGACTTCTGTGTATAATTGCAAATTCTAAAATATCAGCCAAGGTAAATTTGTATAAGAAAAAGCTTGTTATAAAGTTGTTGCTAAAGTGTGTAAGTTGTAATTTGTCATTCAATAAGTTTTTCAATTAAAATTACTCATGAAATCTTGTGTGACTTGATCTAGTGTTTTCTATAATTGCTAATGTAAACTTGTTAACTTTGCATAGATTGATTATATTTAAAACTCGTATTGTGTGTGTGGCAAAATATGTCTGCTAGTTTTCTCTGGTCTTATTCTCAACAACTATGAAAATGGATAAATGTTGTAGAACTTTAGCTGAACAATTTTTCATCAGTTCTATTTACTATGTTGTCAAACAAAAGCAAAATATATTCTAAATTTAGTAAATGTTTCAAAAAGGAATCTATTGATGCATTCTAAAAGAATAGGAAGGAAGTGCTCATTTTCTGATATGTTGTACTGCAAATTCTCTGGCTGATATTGTTTGTTGTATGGAAATGCACAACAATATGTTGTAAATATGAAGTATAGTCTTCCTCCCCTCAAGGATCAGTCAAATGTAATGTGGATAAAGTACCTTTAATAGCTCTAATCATGCTAGTCCTCTTTTCATAAAATATTTCTGTAGCCTTAATGTTGCAGAACTAATCTTTGAGTAATTTTTCTCAAAATATCTTGTGTTGAGATGTTTATTCGGCATGTGTGCATGACTTTCTGTAATGTTGATCACAAGTTGTTAGGTTTCCATCATTTTCAAAAGTTGGCAGCTATGCTTATGTTCAGATTTAAGATTAAAAATGAATTATTTACAGGTCATGTCTGACAGTAATGGCCGCTCTAGAGGGTTTGGCTTTGTCTGCTTCAGCTCGCCAGAAGAAGCAACTAAAGCAGTGACTGAAATGAATGGTCGCATTGTAGTTTCCAA